GCCGTGGCCCACCGGTGGCCTTCCCTCTGTGACGGTTCACTGTGCAATATACACTTAAGATTGACATCTAACAAGTCTCTCCAAAATAACTAAGCGGGTATTACCCAAACTCAAAGAAATAAAATAAAAATCGCCAGTCTTATTAAACCCCACAGTCAAAACGGGCCCTTTGCAAGTCTGCCTGCCAGGTGCACGGCCTCCTACTCCCACATCCAGCTTGCGCGGCTTCGAATCCCTTAGAATTCTAATCAAGGCTCAAGAAACAGACTTGAAGCGGCCATGACACAAATCTGGAAACCCCTGCCAAAATATCCCGCTCCATTGCTTCCGGATGTATAGATAATTAATCCTTTGAAGCTGGCAAACTGATCTGGGAACGAAGTCCCTACTTGGTGCTTCTGAATGATAGCGAGCTCAGCCGCAGGCTGCCTGCTCCTCAAAGGCGGCAGTCGATGCAGCTCATTTCTCGGTGCACGTGCCGTGTGCAGGGCACGCACGACCGCGGGCGCTCCACTGTGCAGGCGCGGGCTCCCGCCCAGCCAGGGGACACCGAGGAGGCTCTGCCCTCACGCCCTCCATGGCCCCCCTCCCGGGGCACAGAGCACCTGCCACCCCCCCACCCCCCCGCTGCTTGGGACCCAGTACCCCGCACCCCTCCCAGTTCCTTGCTGGCCCACAGCTGCTAAGGCAGGTGCCTGGGGGGGGGGGGGGGGGCGCAGGTGCCTCCTCGAGGGCGTGGCTCCGACCCAGGATTTCAGAAAGCAGGAAGCCTTTTGCAAACCAACCTTGCCTAAGCCAAAACAGCAGTGGAAAGCGGGCGCTCCCCTGCTTCCCACAGGTTCACGCTGCTCCACTCTGCAAGGAACTGCATTAGTACGGTAACCGTTTTCTTGCAACAGCAAAATTCCTCTCCGGTTTCCTCCGTTAGCACAAACAGGTACTAGTGAACATCTTGAGTAAAAGCAAAGTGGCTAACGTGAGCTTCTGGAAAGCAGGGGACACCGGGACCTGGATAACACCGAATGAATTCCCTGTAGAAATAACTGCTCTGGTCCCCATTTCTGGACTGGACCCCGCTGGTCACACCTCGCCTCCCCCCTACCCCCCGCCGAGGGAGCCGGACACACGCTGACCCTTGGTCTGGGACTCAGTGCAGTGTTCAGAACGCACATCGTGGGCAGCTGGCAGTACGTGTGGGGGTCAGGAGTGGCTGCCTCCAGCAGCTGGGGG